GGGGCGCCTGTTGTAGAGACACAAGTGTAGAGGATGACGTTTCGAAAGTCTTTCGTTTTCAGGTCTGATTCTTGCTGTTGATGAAATAAACACTTGAAGAAAAGTATATCATCTGAGAACCTACAACTAGCACGAATAAGTGACGTAATAAATCAGTTTCCGTAGAATTATACGATTGAAGAAATACCTTAAGCTTAGATAACAATTTATTGGTAAGAGTTAGGGATAAAAGTATTTGTATGTGTTTGTTTTAGAGAAAATGCACATGCTGTGTCTATCACGGGGATTGGAACCCCAAATTTTAGCGTTGTAAGTCCGCAAACTTACCACTGTCTCACCGGGAGACACGCACAAAAGAAAAGACAGTAGTAATAACATTTAAAGAACATGAATTCTAAGCTTATTTTTCATACCACAGGACGTTTCTCCATGGAATCTACAAAACGCAACGGCATATTATATAGCTTGATTATTGAGAGCTTTTAACACTTAACGAAATCTCTTGATAAACTATGGGAAGAAGTCTCCATATAAAGAAAATAACTTCAGTAGGAGATAAACGGGGGAAATTAAAGTACTCATGTTAACATTGTCTTTTATAATGTTTTATTTCTGTCTATCCGTGTTTTTCTGTTTAGGAAATAATGAATCCTGCACCAACACAATATCGTAAATCATGACTTTGTTTTATAGAGCACGGGCATTCCTTTACTCGTTTTACCCGATTACTGTAACTCTAGCTATACCTCAAAGACTTGTTATTTTATCGAAAAAATATTTTATTTCTACTTGAAGTAAGTATCAAGAAACATTTTTCACTACCTAATGTAGAGTGAGACGAGTATATCTCGTCCATAAACAAAGTATCTACAGACGATTTTACCTTTTCTTTTTTAACCTTAAACCAGATTACGTTCACTGCCGAAAGGAGCTGCCAATAGGTAGCTCCATAAATCCAAAGACAGTGGTCGTGTTAGCCGAAAACTGTATTATCTGCTCATGTACAAATCGATATGATGAATATAATTTATGTTGAGTGTTCTGTACTATAAAGTATTAAATACCTTCCCATTCGGGTAATAAAGTATCTTACTGTCCGCCTACAGCTCTAGCTGTTGAAGGATGGATGTACGCTAGAAACATAAAACCTCAACCCATGAGGTGGGTGTCTTTACTGTCCGTCTACAGCTCTACCTGCTGAAGGATGCAAACTAGAGACATAAGGCCTCAGCCCACGAGGTGGGTGTCTTTACTGTCCGTCTACAGCTCTACCTGTTGAAGGATGTACACTAGAGACATAAGGCCTCAGCCCACGAGGTGGGTGTCCTTACTGTCCATCTACAGCTCTAGCTGTTGAAGGATGTACGCTAAAGACATGACACCTCAACCCACGAGGTGGGTGTCCTCAGTGAACGTCTATAGCTCTAGCTGTTGAAGGATGCACGCTAGAGACATAAAACCTCAACCCACGGAGTGGGTGTAAGGAAGATCCTGTGAACTCCTGAAACACCTTGTTTGCCAGAGATAAGCCCGTTATTGAGAATAGAAAATTGAAAAGTTTAATGAATTTATATGGTTAATCAAATTACGCCAAGGATCAGTATAAACATATATTTCAAAGTCACGTGCATTACCGCTTTATGTTTGAGTCCTAACTCAGTAACAAGCAACAAATCCATGGGCCTTTCGTTCTTTTCCCACCGAAATTCATAAGTTTAGTGTTCAGAGAACAATTAAATATTATCTAATAAAATTTTGTGCTCTGAATAATTTAAGGAAATACATTAATAGCATCAATGTTTTACACTCTGAAAAGAACATTTATATAAATATACGTTACTAGTGTCCAAAAAAACACAACCCAAACTACGCTCTATTGCTACGTTTCCAGTTTCAGGAGAGGAAACAATTATACATTTGAATTATTCTTACTTACATTGTTATTCACATGTGTCCAACTCTCTAAATCCGTCTCTGTGCTGTTGGAAACATTTATACCAAGTTTTGGCTGACCATGGTCCAAGAAGATGACCTGAAATAGTAGTTAAAGTAAGCTGAATTATACATGCTTTAATTGTATGGACATACAGGTACATAGACACAAGATGATCTGAAATAGTAGATAAAGTAAGCTGAATTATACATGCTTTAATTGTATGGACATACAGACACATAGACACAAGATGACCTGAAATAGTAGTTAAAGTAAGCTGAAGTATCCATGCTTTAATTGTATGGACATACAGATACATAGACACAAGATGACCTGAAATAGTAGTTACAGTAAGCTGAATTATTCATGCTTTAATTGTATGGACATACAGACACATAGACACAAGATGACCTGAAATAGTAGCTAAAGTAAGCTGAACTATTCATGGTTTAATTGTATGGACATATAGATACATAGACACAAGATGACCTGAAATAGTAGCTAAAGTAAGCTGAACTATTCATGGTTTAATTGTATGGACATATAGATACATAGACACAAGATGACCTGAAATAGTAGTTACAGTAAGCTGAATTATCCATGCTTTAATTGCATGGACATACAGATACATAGATGCAAGATGAGTAAGAATCCATCCTCAAGTATGCGAAGTACATAAACACAAAATCCTCCGGTGGGACAGCGGTAAGTTTGCGGATTTAGAAGGTTAAAATCCTGTGTTTAATTCCCCGCGGCGGACACAGCAGATAGTCCATTGTGGCTTGGCTCTAAAAAAATCAAACTAAAAGCAAACATAAATATAAAAACTTTAACAGTGATCCATCTGGAGATCAACTAATAAACTGGATGTTTTCAATCACCAGATTTGTAGTACTTAAAATATGTTTGTTTATTGGATTTCATATGAAATTACTGGGAGGGCTATCTGCGTACCCATCCCTAATTTGGAAGTGATACACTAGAGGGAAGGCAGCGAGTCAACTTCACCCACCGCCAACTCTTGGGCTACTCTTTCGAATCAGCTATCCACAGCTTGCAAGAAGAAAGATATTTTTATGCCTTTTTCCTAACATATTTTATTTGTTTATGAATACAATCGACCAGCAGTTTGACTGATTAGTAAGTGCGAAAATGAAAAAGATATATTTTAGATAGATTAAAACTAAAAGCATATGTGATAAGATAAACCTTGTTAAACCCAATAAGATTTTGATTTTATTAAATTATTTATGTTTTGTTGGCAGTGTAATTTTTCAAAAACGGTTATTTTGTAATAAATCGCTCATCTCTTGTAGAAATGGGAATTTCTTAATAATTACATTTAATAGTTTTGTAACCATTGTTGATAATATTCTGAGGTTGTTTTTGTTTGTTTTCATGTATTTGTTTAAGATATACTCACTGAACGATGCAAGCTTATTTATGAAAAATAAGCTTGCTTTCTTCTCTTTGAAACAGCGTTACCAGGGGAAACATTATGAAAATACTAAAAAAAAACGCTCTGTACTTGTAGTTTAATGATTACTTAAAGGGTCGATCTTTAGTTTGTGACCTTTCCACGCCTATACGATGCTTCTACTAGTAGCTGAAAACGGGCGTCTATGTTGCGTGGGATAAAACATCTCCTGTCTGAGAACTCGACCACCTGGATAAAGAGTTTTACCAAAAAACTTAACAGTAATCTATGCACTTGCTGGTTTGGTACACTTCAAGTGTAGCCGACTTGTGTCTGAGTAAGTGTTAGATAACGTACTTCGGACATTGTGAAGTTAAGATATCGTGCTTCGTTCGTTATGAAGCTATAACATCACACCCCAAGAAAGCACACAAAAAAATTAAACAGTTCACGTTGATTGCAAAGGATGAACGTTAGCAAATAAGTAGCTCTGTGTTCAGCCATTTGTAATTTTACGTTACCAGTAAGGAATAATGTTGAAAATAGAATATTTTACTTTTCTAGCTGAACAATGAAATTCTATCCACACATTCTAAAAAGTTCCATAGAATAAGAATAAGCTACTAAATACAAACCATTTCTTACCTCTTAAAGATGTTTTTCTAACTTAAAACCCCCCGTGGCTTATCGATAAGTCTATTGGTTTAAAGCATCAAAATTGGGTTTCGATACCAGCTTTGGGCAGAACACATATGACTGCTTATGTAGCTTCGTGCTCAATAACAATCGTTCTGAATGAATAAATACCAATATGAAGAGCATGAAATATAACTGATCTAAGTCAATAAATCAAAATCAAAGGAGTCGGAAGTGTTTACGTGAACAATCCTATCAAAATGTTTTCCAGGGCTCGATAAAATTTTGGAAAATCAATTATATTATTTGAACTTGGAAATGTAATAATATGAAAAGTGGAACGTTTGGAACTCTGTGGTTGACTCGTTTATTACCTCAAGCCATCATTTAACGTCATTTTTCTTATACTTTCTGAGAATGTGTAGGTTTAAAAGCTTTTGTAGTAGTATTCAGTGTGAAAGTAGCCGTTATTACGTATGTAGTTGGACTTTTTTTTTGGTGAAAAGATGTTCTCGAAACCCATTCTTTCATAAACATTTGAAAATAAAATGTTAAACAAATTAAAGAAATAAAGAAAGAGTTTTTGGATGATTTATGAAATAATTACTTCTTCGAGATAAACTTAATAATTATTTATCATAATCAAAAGTTATAACAAGCTAAATTCGGAGTAGTTATGGTCTGTAAGTTTGACGGAATATTTCATGATTAACAATATATAACCAGGCAGTGACAAAAATGAGGTAAAACAAAGTAATATATAAACAACTCTTTAATTCTTAAATGTTCAATGTCATATTAATACATCTAAATAAGGGTTTTTGTTATTTTAGCACGAACCTACACAATGTGCTATCTGTACTCTATTCACCGCTGGTAACTGAGCTCCGGATTTAAATGTTATAAGTTCTTAAACTTACCGCTAACTCACCAGGGGTCATATTAGTAAATAGAAGCAAATCTATAAAAATAAGATAAATATACTGAAAGACAATTACAAAAATAGCATATAGAACAGAGATAAATGCTTAATATAAACTTTTCATTTTCATTTTAATTCTAGAGGTTTTTCTTGTCTCATTTTGTTAATGTTAAAAAAATAAGGCACTGTATCTTAGAACAACTAAAGTTAAGGCTACAGTTCTGATAAC